CAGTACAGTACAGTACAGTACAGTAAGGTACAGTACAGTACAGTACAGTACGGTACAGTACAGTACAGTACGGTACAGTACAGTACAGTACGGTACAGTACAGTAAAGTAAAATACGGTACAGTACAGTACAGTACAGTACAGTGTTCACGGACCCATTTCATATAATATGTAATTTTCATGCTACAATAAAACTTTCTTTTACTTACGTCAAATACATACAATGAGAACTAGAAAACTGAAATAGGAAGACGACATTAAAGAGCAATAATTAAGTGTATTTTATGTTGTTACAAAGCAAATAGTTGTACTAGAAACTTATTAAATCACTTATTCATAGTTTCTGTGTCTTATGTCCAAGTCTTAACTTTAGTCTGAAAGTCGTCTTCCTATTCCGGAGTTTTATGGTTCTCCTTGGTTAGGACTTCAAAAAGTTGTCTTCTTATTCCACAGCTTTATGGCTCCCTCTGTATGGAGAGAAGTATATAAATGTATGGGCTGAGATTGGAGGGTTAGGGTCGGGCCATTATTTAACATATACTACACACATGATTCGAATACTGATTTAAACTAAACCAAATCAAACCTCAGAACATCAGCAAATTAAAAACTGGAGTTTCTAGTAATTGTAATTCTGTATTATATAAAGAGGTAGGTTATTATATTAATACAATGAAGACGACATTTTTTAGTCAAGTTTTAATCGTTAACAAGCTTTTCTCGAATTACAAGTTTACAGGTGACCTATAATAAACTTTTTAATTGATACCTTATGTTGACTTCTTATGTTTATGTGTATCCATGCTGCTTAACAGCTTGATATAAATCAAAATTTAAATCGAAAGTCGTCTTCATTGTATTTATATAATCGCCTACCACTGTATATATATATGTAGTAAATAAACCTATTTCATTAATATTTGTGTAACCCGTAAATATACGTTCTTCAGTTCATTGTTCCTAGTTACAGTCAACTTATTTACCAATTTCATTTTCTTTCGATTTTCTTATTCATTTCCCATCCGTTTCCTTTCCATTTCCTTTCCGTTTCCTTTTCATTTCCTTTAAATTTCTTTTCAATTTCCTTTCCACTTCTTTTACATTTCCTTTCCATTTCTTTTACATTTCCTTTCCATTTCCTTTCCGTTTCCTTTCCATTTTCTTACATTTTCCATTCAATATCCTTTCCATTTCCTTTCAATTTCCTTTCCGTTTCCTTTCCATTTCCTTTCAATTTCCTTTCCATTTTCTTTCCATTTCTTTTCCATTTCCTTCCCTTTTATTTTCAAATTCTTTTCCATTTTCTTTCCATTTCTTATACATTACCTTTCCTTTTCTTTTCAAATTACTTTTCATTTTTATTCAATTTCCTTTCAATTTCCTTTCCATTTCCTTTTCATTTCGTTTCTATTGTCTTTCCATTTCTTTTCCATTTCCTTTTCATTTCCTTTCCATTTCCTTTCCGGTTCCTTTCTATTTCCTTTTCATTTCCTTTCCATTTCCTTTCCATTTCCTTTCCATTTTCTTTCCATTTCCTTTCCATTTTCTTTCCATTTCCTGTCCATTTCCTTTCCATTTCCTTTCCATTTCCTTTCCATTTTTTTCCATTTCCTTTCGTAGTTTCACCTGCATGTCCTCTGTCCCTCAAATCTCCCCACCCCCTTCTCCTTCCTATTTTTCCAAACTTGTTCAATCCTCAATATTCAGAATTATATTTCAATTAAAACTTATTTATAGATCACGGGACTGAAGCACTAAAGTTCCGCCCACTAATTCTGAATAACACGCACTGGGTCAACCACATACGGGGTATACTAGACGGGCTGGTACGAAATAAACACTACACCTGGCAATACTTTATCTGGTTCGTGCAACTTATAAACCTATTCAGGCTAACGTCTGGTATACCCATAATAGTCAGGGGGGGGGGGGACCCAGGCAGTATGTATAAAAGCCCTGCTTTGAGTCTAAAGTGAGGGGCATGGATTAGTTAGAAAAGCCAAAAAATCTAAACTGCCTCAGACCAATACTTTTAATTTGAGTTATATTAAAAAACGAACAATAATTTGTCCAAACCTCACTAGAATCATTTCGTGTCCCGTTTTGTGTTATTTCCGTATGAGATTAAACACTGTACTGCTTACTCTAGCTGCTTTAAAGTCGGACCAATACCTGAAATGAACCGGTGTTTACAGTGACCTATGATCTGTAGATAGATAGATAGAAACATTGATAGAAAGTTAGATATATAGATAAATATATTTTAAACTAAGTTTGTTGTGATTTTCCAAGAACAGAGGTAGAGTGTTTACTCCTCTTATTTCCTCCTAAACTTAATTTAATAACAACTTTACAAGCTGTAATATTGACANTCCAGACCCCCTTTTCTCTTTGGTTTTCCCCTCATCATACTTCTCTTTTCTCCTGTTGTCGTCAATTTTTTGTTTCCAAGTAAACTTTTTTTGATTTATTTCTTGTTGAAATGCTTGATTATAATTAGGGTTGTTAATTGTTTTTCAATCGTTTACAAAAACGATCGTTTCGTTTTCGGAAAAACGATCCACTCGTTTTTAATTTTTAGAAAACAAATAACGATCGTTTTTGAAAACGATTATTTTTATACAAACGATGAGAAATTGTTTTAGAAAAACTATCGTGTTTGAAAAAAAATTGTCATTAATAGATACAGGGTGTCCCAAAAACATGGGAACTCAGTGACGAATTGGATATCGTCTTTGTTATGCATTAGCATTGCAATACCTAATTTCAAAAGCCAAAATATTATTATGTCTGCTAGAGTTTATTTTATGAAAAGGGTAAAAGACTGTAAAGATGTGTCTTCGCAAGATGAACAGTGAAGACGGACAAGTTTACTCTGTTTGTGTACTGCAATTTTCTTGTTTTATTAAGTACAACCGTATTTAGTCAAATTATAAACAAACAAAATTTGAACATAGCAGACGAAACTCTTACAGATTACAACTTTCTCAGTAGGTATCACCATACTAAATCAAAGAATTATTTATAAATACGATATCGAATTCGTCACTGAATTTCCGTGTTTATTGGGACACCCTGTATGAGCTCGACATCTTTGAAGACGATTATGAATATGGTCTTACATGCAATTTTATCGAACGTCGTCTTACATGCAGGTTTATACAGGAAATACATTTGGATTGTAGAAGATAAATTCCTAAAAGTTGTTGATGAGCTAAAACTTCTTGATATTTTCTTTAAAACTACTCAATAATAAGTTCCAATGCTTCTCCTCCGATCGTTAATGAAGGGTCGTCGTTAACGATCGGTAACAAAGGGTCGTCATTAACGATCGTTTTTAAAAAAGATCGTTTCATTTTTCGCGTTTTAGTCGTCGTTTTCATAACAAAACAATCTTTAAAAAAAAAGGAAAACGAACCATCCCAAATCATAAGTAACTCTAAATTTTTATGTTTAAATTTTCGAACTCTATTCATTATTTGAACTGTTTGAGAGGTTTAAAAAAGTTTTAAAAAAGTGTAGGAAATTAACAAGTCATACATAGTTACAGAGAAATTGAGTCTTTGCTACAAACTCTGCAGGTATTCTAACCCCAAAATCTTTGCCAATTCAATTTCGGAGACCTTGTATATATCAAACTATGAATTCTGTTAGCTCAAATAATCTGATTTTGAAATATCAAAGGCTTACACCATCAGGTTACAGAGCTATAGGGATTAGAAAATTTATTTTTGTGGCAAAGTCTCAATTCCTTCAACGTAGAACTTCTAAACTTCTGAATCTTATTTTAAGGGTTTGTATTTAAATATGTTTAATACTTACAAAAATTAAAAAATTGCAAACAAAATCTTTCAAAATACTTAAAAGTCCAAAGTCAAATCACGGCGAAATAAAAAATGAAAATGAAGGCGACATACCTTTAAGGATTAAAGTAATAAAAGCCATCACTGCCTAGACGCCCCCCCCCCCCTCCGTCTGAGAGTTATCTTTTTCTTCTCCCCTTGGTTTGATTTGATATTAATACTGTACACCATGTGGTGCATCCAGCCAAATCTTGTTTTCTGCAATATCAACATTTGGAAAATAATCAATTTTCAGGACAATAATTTTTCATTAATCGCCATTTCCAGAATTGTAAAGGAACTGCAACTCCGCATGTAATGTAATTTTCTGAACATATATGTTTGCAACCTAATAACCTTGGATATTTTAATCTATAAATGGTTAGAAAAAAGTAGTCCAAGTTATAGATATCACACGCACCTCTGACCCTTTAGTAAAAGTAAATTTAGCCTAAAGTCTGACCGCGTCAACCTTGTTGCACCTAGTCCTATTGAGTGTCTGCTTTATTTACCCAATGTCCGGGCGATACAGTACAAACTGGGACCGGAAAGGTTGACCCGGATCGGAAATTCAAATGTACTACGGCTGCCCGTGATCAAATGTCAAAAGTTAAAACCATCAAATTGTAAAAATGTTAAGATTAGAATATTTGAGTTTGTAGCGAGTAATCAGAAAACGGAATTGTTAATCTTGAACGCTTGATCTCTATATCCAATGTGGGCACTTTTATATTTGAGGATCAATGGTCTGGTCAAATTATCCGTAGATCTGCATTTAAGTTTGAGATCAATGCTTGATCCCGATATTTACAACACAAACGTTCTGACTTTATTTTTTTATTTATTAATTTATGTATTTATTTATTTATTTATTTATTTATTTATTTATTTATGATCCAGATCTTGTTTAAAATCATTATTCATATCTTTGTTGATAATCAAGATATTTCTGATTATAATGTTTTCTTTAACATTCAAATCCATTATTTTTTTTATATCCATATCCTCGTTATATCCAAAAGTATTTATTGAGAATCCATATTTATAATATCATCCTATTTGCCTGCAATTCAAAAACTGTTGTAGAAACGTTTTGGAAAGATAGATATCGATTTTTTGTTATTATTACTTTACAATTATTTGTTTATTTTTCAGAAACAAAATGGAAGAAAATGCTTTGAATTTACAGACTTTCATCGTTATGCTACTTTTTGCAGGTAAAAAAATAGTTTGCTCCTTTATTTACTTTGTTTAGCTACTTTTTTAGGTAAGCAAGTAGCATATATACCTCTTTCTACAACATTGTGTAGCTACTTTTAAGAAGCAAAAAAGCAGTCTGAAATTTTCCCAACATTGTTGAACTACTTTTGGCAAACAAAAAAAAGTAATTCACTATTTTTTCAACATTGTTGAACTACCTTTGGCAAACAAAATAGTAGTCTGCAACTTTTCCAACATTTTTGAGCTACCTTTAACAAGCAAAAAAGTAGTCTAGAACTTTTCCAACACTGTTGAACTACTTTTGGCAAACAAAAAAAGTAATTCACTACTTTTTACACATTGTCGATCGAGCTACATTTAGCAGATAAAAAAGCAGATTATCTTTATTTCTGATGTCTAAACAACCAAGCTTATATTTACTTGATTCACTTCTAAAAGAGATATTCATTACCCATCTGAAGATGTTGTGGTTTACAACGAAATATATTATGGCGAAAATGACAGTTGTTTAAAACCTAGAGTCTTTTAAAAATTGAATACAAAATAATTCGCGATGTGGCTCAGAAAGTATAGAATTAGAATTAGTATTTTATTGTATAAGAAAGAAGGGCGCGAAGCCCCTTGAAACTATAGCTATATTTTATATTATTCAAAGTGTATGCATCTCTATGTATCGATTCATAAAATTTGTTTACGAAGTGTTATAAAACCGGAATATTCCGAAAACTAGTAAAAGAGGATACAACTTCTTTTCTAACCGGTTTCGAAATAGTTATCTCCCGAATACATCTTTCAATTTCTCAAATTTATATCTGGAAGGTCCATCATATCATTTTTCGTAAGAAATTGAGGTTAACCTTTTTCAAATCTTTTTGAGGGTCCCCCCACGATCATGTATTTTTTTATTACGTTTGCAGAAACAATATTCAATTTATTTCTCTTTGTAAAGTTTAAAACAATGTTTATTGTATATAAACTCATATCGATCTAGTAGTATTCTTATTTATATAAATTCATTTACATATATCAGTTTTTAAATTTCACATTTTATAAAAAACTGAATTAAAATACACAAAATGGTTCACATCATACGATGATCCATAGCGGTCAATATTCTTTGAGCATATTTAAACGAGTATATAAATAAATAAAAGTATAAGAAATATATTTATAAAGGAAATGATTTTTTGCAACAAACTCAAATTTTTAATCCCTATATCTTTTCAACCCGACGTCGTAGACCTTTGATATTTCAAACTATAAATTCTGTTATATCAAAAAGTCTGAATTTGAAATGTCGAAGGTTTACATCATCAGGCTGCAAAGATATAGGGATTAGATTGTGGTAAAGACTCAATTCCTTTTTTCGCTATAGAGCTGGCCAAACGGCTGGACCAAATTGGCTAAAATTTGTTAAAGAAACCATTGGTACCCTTGAGATGGCATAGGCTAAAATAATTTTATAATCAAAATGAATATCCAAGTGCGGGTAAACGGTGGGAGTAACTTTGACTACAATAATAGTTATATAAATCTGGGCAATACATCCTATTCCAGTTGGTTACATGTCTATACTCTTAGCTTATATAATATTTTCTAAATTGCAACTTTGTAATATAAACCTCTCAGGCCCTTGGTGTGTTACTTAATATAGACCAATAAACTATCAATACTGTTTTCAGGAAAACAGGTTCTTTTTCATAAATAAAGGAACTGAGTTTTTGCCACAAACTCAATTTTTATCATCCCTTTATCTTTGCAGCCTGATGGTGTTAACCTTGGATATTTCAAACTTAGATTATGTGGTCTAATATGATTCATAGTTTGAAATATCAAAGTTATACGACATTAGATTGTAAAGTTATAGGAATTAGAAAATCAGAGTTTGTGGCAAAAACTCAATTCCTTTTGGGGATTTTCCTGTTTTTATTTGGGTAATTTCAAAATTTTAAAGTTTTAAGAAAACCTTCTATGAACCTTCTTATAAGATCATAATAATAATAATAATGATAATAATAATAACATATTTCGGACAAAGTAGATATATAGTATTACAGATATATATGTTTGTTGTCGCAAAGGAACAAGATTCTGACGATGAACAGATAGACAAAGGAATAACCCTCAAATCAAAATCGATAATGCAGAAAACTCTTTATTTCCTAAAAAAAATGAAATGAATAATGATAAATAATTATTACAATGGTTTACGAATTTATAATGAAAAGATTCTTACGATCTATTAGAGTATTTGTGGGTTAAACTGTCGGGGAGTCCTAAGACGCTTTTTTATACATTAAAACTTATGAAAAGAGTGACAATTAAATGTTAAGGAAAGTCACTAATTCTTTATATGAAAATATTCTTTGCTTAACTTTGAAGTGGTTCACAATTAATAAAAGTGTTTATACTCCGTTGTCGGAGAACAAAGAGAAGCGGGCTGAAATAGTTTGGTTTGGTTTCTCGTCTCCGAGAGGAGCTTTTAGGTTGAAGACGACATTACATGGAGGGGGGGGGGGGTCTTAATGTTAATGGTTGACAATGTTTGATTTAAACAAAAATGTTGTCAAATAATTTATGTTTGTTATTGGTGTAAATGTCCATACGACCGTCTAATTCTTTTTGGAAGTAATTGTTGTACATACAGGATAAATTAGAGGGACGAGGGGGGGGGGTTGTTGTTGTTGATAATTTGATAAATACTTTCAAGGGTTTGTGATTCCCATGAACACAGGATAGCTATACAATATACACAAATTTGTGTGCTTTATAAGGTTCTAAATACGTTTTCCAAACCTTAAAATTGTGTGGGTCCTTGTAGTCTACATATTCTATTTATATTTATCTAACTATCTATCTATCTGTTATATTCTAGGGCAATGTAGTGGAGTGAGGATGGTTGAACTGCTGATTCCAGATCAAGTAAGTAACCTCGATATAAATAAATCTTATCTTACAAATGTCAAAAAAGGTTTTATTAACATTTTTTTAAAATAAAATTTATTTTTTAATTACATTCTTAATTTTTTTCCTCCTTCATTCTTAATTTTTTTCTTTTGATGACTCTCTTTTCCGGCAATTTTGCAAAAAAAAGGTTTTTTACTAAATTAAATTATGGTTTTGATTTTATTCAATCTTTAAAACCGATGTTAATCATAAGGTTTTTTTCTTTTTGGAAAAAAATAAGTCTTTTCGAAAGAAACTGACATAATTATTAAAACAATTTTTTAATGCGTTATTCGTTTTTAACACGAACAAAAAACATACAATTAAAGACTATTAAAAGTAACACTTTCTTTGTTGTACTTTTCTTTACAATATATAGTACATAGTACATACAACATATAGATACATTTGAACTGGGTTTTAAACAGTTTGCCAACTTATACTGCAATAAAATTAGATTTGAATGCAGGGTGTCAAAAACAAGAAATTGTAAGAAAAAAATCTGCCAAATTTATAATTTTGTGTACGACAAATATAAAAAATTTGCAATTTTTTCCTGACTTGAATTTTGAAGTTTCTCCTTATTTGGATTATTTATTTTGGGTCCCCCTGGGCGGAGAAATCTCTAGAAAATATGCTAATATTCCTTCGATTGGGGAAAAGAACACATTACCCAGGGATTATATGCATATATAGGAAAAACAAAACCGAAAATTTAAATCGAAACAGATTTGGATTTGAGGATTGGAAGTGTTACAGTGTGCCCTACTAAACATGATAGTTTATTGTTGATGTATTGATAATAATATGATAATTATCATAATAATAATATTTTCTTATTTTGTGTTCTAACAATTACAATTTGCTTTCTTAAAATTTGAAAAATCAATACATTTTTTATGTTTCCATTTGCAGTATTTAAAAATTCAAATAGATTAATGTTTTTGAGGCAAATATTTTTATTTTGACCGGATATAAACCTCTTCATTTGAGATGCCACTGATAAATTGGCTCCATTATCCTTCCCTCAGGATGCACACAAATTTTTGGCTCTATCCGTTCAGTTTTTTTAGGGCGCATCATTTTAAAACAAAGAAGAAAAAAATTTTGCGGATTTTTAAAAACAAATTCGCGGATTTTCAAGAATTTAAATTTTTTTACAAAATTAAAAACCTTTAAAACACATTTTTTTTATCATTCATAAACCTTCCCTGTGGTCACGTGATGTCCCACAAAAAATATGGGCCCGATCGGTTCAGCCCTTTTGACATTTATTGGATACAAACAAACAAACAGACACCAAAACACCAAAACAGACAGACAAGCCAAAATTTATATATAGATATATAAAAAGTACTTTTTTATTTATAAAATTTTTAAAAATTGTGGAACAGGTTCTGCTGGGTGAACGAGCTGTACTGCAATGTTTGTATGATCTCGAAGGAGAAGAACTGTACAGTGTAAAATGGTATAAACAGGGCCAGGAATTCTTCAGGTACTGTTTAAAAGGACTATTGGTGTAATTTCAAGTGACCTTTGATTAAAGAAAGGCATGCCTGATAACAACGGTGCTATGGAAACGCCTCCACACGGAATCGGACCCAAAAAAAGAGGAAACCAATCAACAAACTGAGAATTTAAAACTTTTTCTGAAAACCGGAAACGGACCCAAAAAAGAGGAAACCAATCAACAACCTGAGTATTTAAAAGTTTTTTGAAAACCGGAAACTGACCCAAAAAAAAGAGGAAACGTACCCCAAAAATAAAAAGGAAACGCACCCAAAAAAACAGGAAACGAATCAAATGTAATTATAGCGGAAACCGATCCAAAATATTCTGAAATCCCTCAACACTTTTCAGTTTTTGAGGGATTTCAGATAATTCTTGAAAAAAGAAGGAGACGGACCCAAACTCACTTTTGGGTCCGTTTCCGTGTTGAGGCGTTTCCATAGCACCATGGAAACTTTAAACCTTTATCAGATCAAAAGTCAGATAGATAATATCGTCGGTTTTTCGGCTTCAAAAGTGTTAAATACTGAAAGTTTTCTCTATTGTTTCTGCAAGCAGAAGTGTGCAAATAACTTTATAAATGACATTTTTTTTTGAAAATAATCAATATTAAAATTGAAAACCATGGAAAGCTCAATCATTCACCAGACAAAGCTCTTTTAGGTAATATTTAGAATCGTACATTCAGCTCTATACATTGAGAATCGTACATTCAACTCCATACATTGAGAATCGTACATTCAACTCTATACATTGAGAATCATGCATTCAACTCTATACATTGAGAATCGTACTTTCAACTCTATACATTGAGAATCATGCATTCAACTCTATACATTGAGAATCGTACATTCAACTCTATACATTGAGAATCGTACATTCAATTCTATACATTGAGAATCGTATATTCAACTCTATACATTGAGAATCGTACATTCAACTCTATACATTGAGCATCGTACATTCAACTCTATACATTTGGAATCGTACATTCAACTTTATACATTGAGAATCGTACATTCAACTCCATGCATTGAGAATCGTATATTCAACTCCATACATTGAGAATCGTATATTCAACTCCATACATTGAGAATCAATTGAAATTACGTTTCAAAAACTTTGATGAACTCTCCCAACAATAATATTTAAACTAACAAAGTCAAACTAAGGGCAAAGTTGGCATTATTTTGTTTTGTGTGTACCATGGCTATTTCATGTATTATCTGTATTTGTAAATATATATTATGTATTTGTAAATACATAAATTATTCAAAACATTCATGGCCCCCCATCATCATTAGTATTCATTAGTTCAGCACGGAAAAAAGAGAATCCCTTAATTAGCTTAATTAGCTAAAATAAAGGAACTGAACACTCTTTATCTATAATCCTGATGTCGTAGACCTTTAAAATGAATTCTGTCAGATCAAATCAGCCTCAGTTTTGCTGTTTACACCATCAGGTTGCAAGATGTAGGGATTAGAAAATGTTCTGGCGAGTTTCAACACCTGTACTACTTACCAGTACATCATTTTATTAGAGATTGCTAGTCAGTAGCTAATAGCTAATCAGATCAGATTGAAAATAGATAATAACTAATCATATCAGATTGAAAGGAAAATTTTCAAGTAAAAATGTAAGAATGTAAAAATTCTCCTAACAATCTATCCTTTTAAAAACTTTATTTTTTTTTCAATTTGCTCTTCCCCCCCTTTATTCAGCCTCTCCTCCACCTTCTCCTTCCCCCTCCCCCCCCTCCCCTCTCCTATTATGTTAATTGGTTTGTAGTGAGTGGTGCTGATTGGTCTGATCTATTTCTTCTCTATCCATTAGTAGCAGTGTATCTGTAGAGATAGACTAATTAGTTATCAGTACTTAAAGGGACTGTACACTTGAATTCACATGATTCTCATTTGAATCGTGGCATGTCAGATTCACAACTCTTTAAACCTTTCTCTGATCAAGGATGATTGATATGGCAACCAAGGTTATAAGGCAAGGAAAGTTAATTGCAGTTGCGTACATATTGAAACCAGTTCTCTCTGGGCGAAATTTGTAAACAAGAATAAATACATCAATGTTCGTTTAGTATCCGAGTATGTTAAAAGCATTAAATTTTGATAATTTTGATAATTTACATAATAGTTTCCTATGACGAGAATATTTCATTGATTTTTATGTGAAGATGGATCCCATGTCAGGCTTCGACATCCGTCTTGTGTTTACATTACCGCCCAGAGACAGTACACTGCAGTGCAAAAGATGCGCACACCTCTGCAACAAGAATGCAAGGCAAGTTATTTCAGAGGTGTGCGCATCTTTTGTACTGCAGTGTACTGTGCGAAAAAACGCTAAAGTCCGCGAAAAAGTTTACGAAAAACAAACATAAAATGTTCGCATTTTTTGCGAACATTTTCTTCGCTGGAAACCCTCCAGATGATTAATTGATTGTGTTTACTGTGAGAAATATATGTCATATACATGATTGATTGATTTTGTCTGCTATGAAATATATTTAGCCTGGATTTACCAAGAGTTGTAAATGCTCCTCTGGAGAATAATATCTGTGGGATTTTAGTGTTAAGGTGTTAGGAATACAATCTCACAATCAGAAAACATCGGAAACAAACTTTGGTGGGAAATAAGAAGTTAAAGGGGCTCACCACATAGTTTCAAATCACCCTTTATTTTAAAAGTAATTAAATAAGAATGAAAAGATATTGGTGTATTTTAACTTTTAAAAAATAATGTAAATTTTGTTCCTTTTCTTTACACCATAAATCCTCTTATCACTTTTATACTTTCCCTGATAATGGGCTTAACAATTTGCTTTGCAGTGTACCGTCAACATTCAAAAGGACCGTAATAGACTCTAAAATAGAAATGCCCGTAAAAGACTCAAAAAGAGAAAATTTTCATTTTTCCCTTATAAATCTATAGAACACTTTACAAAGTGTGTGACAAAATTTGCGCTTTAATTAGTTAAGAAGTCTTGCCTTTTCCCCTCGTCAAAATTGGCAGATTACCATTCCCCCCTCGCTGTTCTGCTGATTACATGGAAATCCAGTAAATCCTCTATCATCAATAACAACTTCACCAATTACAGATCTTATATATTCATCTTATATACTCATCTTATATATTCATCCTTTAAATTCATCTTATATATTCATCCTTTAAATTCATCTTATATACTCATCTTATATATTCATCTTATATATTCATCCTTTAAATTCATCTTATATACTCATCTTATATATTCATCTTATATATTCATCCTTTAAATTCATCTTATATATCATCTTATATATACATTTTATATATTTCATCTTATGTATTCGTATTAAATATGCATATCATATATTCATCTTATATATTCATCTTAAATATTCGTTTTATATAATCATACTTTCAAATGGTTTTTCGGGTCGTAAATGGAATGTATAACTTTATAAGAGTAATTTAAAGTTACCTTCAATTTAAAAGGGAATTCACCGATTTACAACGGTTCCTTCTCTAATAAGAAAATATCGTCCGTTTTCTGTCTGGAAAGGATTTAAATTCTTCTTAAAGGGAGTGACCGGCAATGAATGGTAGATGAACTGAGAATGTAGTATTGGGGGAAAAAATGTTAGGTTTCATTTGAGACATGTTGAACGTTTTAATGATGAATATTTACCGATTTTAAGTGCAGAGTCGACGTTCAAAATTATCTATTTGGTTGGTTACGTTCAGAGAATCGGTTTTTGAAAAATTATTCAATAACGACGACGAAAAATGTAACAGTGACTTAGTTGTTTAGAAACAGGTCGAGAAAATAAAACTTATCTCTTTTCATTGAAAATAAGTAATCTTCTTGAGATATTGGTATTTGTAATGTCTCATTGTTGACAAATATTTTCTGTAGATTTCCTGGAATTTTTATTGAAAAGACGACAATTTAAGAATTTGAAGAAATCTGCCAACAAATTTGTAAACAGAATTTTACTTAGATTTAAAATCAAAACTTTTAATTTGTCTTCATGATTTTAGACAGTTTAATGTCACAAAATAAATATAGTGATCTAATAAAGATTATGATATTTAATTTTTGGAAATCTTTGCAAAACAGTGATTTTGAGTAATTCAAATTTCGAAGAAAAAAAACGCCTAAACTGATAAACAATAAAGAATTAAGATATCATTGAATTTCCAAAGATTAAAAAAATTGTCATATGATTTAATTTTCAAAACTTTCAAAATAGTTTTTTTTTGTATTTTAGATATATACCAGGAGACAGAGAGCAGAAAATTGTAACATTTAGTCTTCCTGGAATATTTGTAGAGGTAATGTAAGGAACTGTTCGCCTAATTTCAAGGAACCTTCTAATTAAAGAGAACTCCATGCTTGTTTTTGAATGATACCGATTATTTATGACTAAGATATCCTCATTTATCTGGCTGAAAATGTGAGTATGCCAATGATAACCCATGGTTTGGTTCTAAGACACTCAATGTTTTAGCTTGAAAAATAAAGATATTTTCGTCTTTCTTGATCAGATAGAAAATGTATCATGGTGAATCGAATATTCTGTCAATTAAGGATCACTTGAAGTTGTCTAAAGTCCTATTTAACAAAAGTTTATTTTCTCTCAGTAATTGAGTCTTTGCCACAAACTCTGACTTTCTTATCCTTGTATCTCTGCAACCCAATGTCGTAGATCTTAAATATTTCAAGAGCTATAAAGTCTTAGATTTAGTAGTCCAAGTTTAGATATTTTATTTCAAAGGTTTACACCATCAGGTGGCAAAGAAATAGGGATAAGAAAATTTGTGGCAAAGACTGAATTATTTTTATTATTTCCAAACTTTTTTATCTAACTCTGCTTTGTGTTTATCTACTTAAAGGATTAATAATTATGAAGAGTGTCAAAATTCGCAAAATAATTTCAACTTTATTCTTAATTTTGCGCATTTAAATTTATGGGCAATTCTCTGTTAATTAATTAAGCAGAATGTGTTTGTAATAAATAATATTTCAAGAGATAACACTTAATTCTTTCAAAAAAGTGAATAATGGGACTAAATATTTACAAGGAATTCAATTATTCTCTTATTCACAGGGTAACGCAAACATTGGAAAATGTTGGCGCTACCCCATGAAGATTGAACATGAAGAAATGGTATAGCAAGGAGGATGCAAAGAGTGAAACAGAGTAAGGGAGGGGGGATGGAAAATGAGAAGAGGGGTGGGTAAGAGGGCGGACGAGAATTTAATTTGAACGGGTGGGAATGAACAGTTGAATGTCTCAACAAAAACATTATGCACCATAGTTCCGTCAAATCCAAAATTTTTGGTGCATGATAAAAGGAAAAAATTTTGATACCCATAATAAACAACAAGTTTAGGTTAAAGTTGCGCAAACTATGATAATTAAAAAATTTTGAAAATCCCTTGACCCAGTGATTATTCAAAAACAATCAAAACTAAGTTTGTTTTTAAGAAAAGATGAAAATGTCCTTATTTCTTTTAAAAATATTATATTATATTCATCACGTATAATGTATTTAGAAAATGAACTCAAATGCAAACAGGGTGACTTTGAGAAATGTTAATTTGGGCTCTACTGGTCGATACAGGTAGTTAAATTCATATTATTTTTTTATAATTATTACTAATATTTTTATTATTATTATTACATATTATTATTATTATTATTATTATTGTGATTATAAGATGCGAAGTATCTGCTGAGGCCCCTCTGTTTAATACTGTATCACAGAGTAAAAGAATGCAGATTGTAGGTAAAACTGTTTAGTGATCTTTCCATTTGTTTACTATTTAAAATTCAAATCTTAAAATTTCGAAAACTTAAGTTTAAATATAAGTTGGAATTGTACAATTTTGTGTCGATATATACAGTGTTGCCCACAAAGAATGAGAATTTAATGACGACATGAATTTCTTTGAAGATTTATCTTAAAATGGCGTAACCAAAGATTAAAGATTTTCTGTGCAGTGTAAGAGGATGGCCGAGCTTATGAATTCAAATCCTGTACTCCTACCTTAGTTCTGCTTTCGTTGATCTTTTACAAAGTGTGTGACAAAATTTGCGCTTTAATTATTGACCTCTCTAAAGTTTCAAAGTTAATAAAGTTTACAGTATCATCCTTATATAGTATAGTTAACCATGTCAAAGTTAGAGGATCAACTTGCCAATTTTCAGAAAAGGGGCTGTTCACTTGTTTCATAGTAGTTACTTACTTTTTATAGATCTTTGTAGTACTTAAGAAGTGTTTTATTTTCAACAGAATCTTTAACTACCAAGAGTATCTAATAAAAAGAAACTAAGAAAAAATTAAGAATTGTAGTGTGGCTGCTTCCTCCCCACTATTCCCTTCCCTCCCCCCTCCCCCCAAAAAAAAGTTTATATCATTATCATTATCAATGGTTTTTACATAAAAATTTAACAGTTATCATTGACATTTAGGAAATTAGAGTGCATCTTTCATCGTGATATTTTAATTCAATCGATATGGACATGCATAGCTTTGTCAAGGTTTTAGTGCAAGGAAAGTTAATTGCAGTTGCGTAAACTCTGCGTATATATTGAAACCAGTTCTCTCTGGGCGGAATTTGTAAACAAGAATATATGCATGAGTGTTCGTTTAGTATCCGAGGAGGTTAAAAGCATTGAATTTTGATAATTTTGATAATTTACATAATAGTTTCCTATGACCAGAATATTTCATTGATATTTATGTGAAGATGGATCCCATGTCAGGCTTCGACATCCGTCTTGTGTTTACTGTTTACATTACCGCCCAGAGACAGCACACTGCAGTACAAAAGATGTGTACAACTCTGAAATAACTTTCCTGTATTATTGGCTTTGTTTAGTCTATTTTACAACAGTGGATAGATAACTAACGTTTTCATGAAAATCTGAATTTTTTTTCGATTTTAAGAATTCTATAATTTGGTGTCAGCTTTTTTTTATGAATTTATTGGAATATCAATAGAATGATCTTAACCTATTTTTGAATCAAATATATATCTATTTCTCCAAAAGTGGTTTTACGTAAATAAACTCTACGTATAATAAATTACAGGGTTACCCACAAAGGATGAGAGTGTAAAGACGACCTAAAACTCTTTTAATTAGACGTTTCCAGGGTTAACTTCAGTATTCTGTCATAAATATAGTCTTTTTCTAGCTTTTAATGATTGGACAAAGAAAGAAATAAATATAAAGAAACAGACAGTGTTAATTTTGTACAGTCATCTATGAAGTCTCATCCTTTGCATGGGTAACCCTGTAGATACCTAGACACAAGGTAAATCTAGACCATTTCCTCACATTTATTGATCTTGTCATAAACACTAACCAGATAAACCCCAAACCTAGATAAAAAGTCTTCTCCATCATCGCAAATTCAGAAATCACCCTTTGGAATTGACAATGTAATTCTTTGATTAAAAGTTTCCACAGCTTTAAAAAAACACCCATGAAACCTTAATCTGATCATAACCTGATAGATATCGTCGTGTTCTAGTTTAAAAATTGTTTAATTTGTTTAATTTGAAATACTTCTGAAGCAAGGAGTATGAAATAGAAGGGAGATACAACTGACGCGGCCCGCCCTACCATATGATTATGCATGCTTTGCAGACGATGCTTCATTTGTATAAGAAATATTTGTCTGATGTACAATTACCGTGTATACAATAACCTGTTCTGAATATTTCTTATACAAATGGAGTACCCGTCTGCAAAGCATGTATAATCATATGGTAGGGCGGGCCGTGTCAGTTGTATTTAGTTCTTATTAGTTAGTTAGTTCTATTTCATACTCCTTGTTCACATATAAAGAAATATCCCAATTTCACAAATGAAAATATTCAGTTTTTAAAAACAAAACTAAACATATTGATGCGTTTACTTTATCAGACAAATATTCCAAGGGAATTGGACCCTGTCAAACAGAACAGAGTAACAAGATGACTTTTATGAGACTATTGTGTACTTTATCATTCTTACTCACTTTATTGTGAATTGCATAATGCACGTGCTATAAAGTAATCATCGTGCTACAATATTAAATTAGAGCTGTACATTATAGCACGTTTGCTGTATAGTTTTGATTGGTTCTCCCGATTTTTTTTCCAAAAATTTAGGATATTTCCAAACAATTTCTTCAATTGAAAAGAAACTAAAATTGAAATGAACTTTATATTTTGACTTCTGCTTTGTTTCAAAGCTTTTTTCATCTAGAAACAGCCGCTGAAATAAGACAAGTACACAAAGGTTTAATAAAATTACCTATAACACTATTATTTTGGCACGACGTGCCATAAAGTTTTTGGACTAAAGTTTTTAGATTATATTTTGTCTCTCGCTAAAGCTCGGGACAAAATTAAATTCAAAATGGCTTGAACCTTCTCGATAAAGAGAAAATTTCTGTCAAAAAAAAGTTATAGCACTTCGAACCAAAATAACAGTATTATAAATAGTTAAAATTTTCCCATCCGAAGTGTCTCAGAATGGAATGCGTCATTTTTATTTTCGTGGTTTTCTTTAAATATATTTAATTTTCCTTTATATATTTCAGCAATGCCACGAGCTGGACCTCGTATATCTGGAGGCCGAGGAGGATATTCAGTTGGAGATCTGGTAAATTTATTAAAGGGGCTGTAAACCTAATTCCAAATGACCCTCCAATTAAAAAAGTGCATGTCCGATTTACAACGTTACCTTTAAACAATTTCTTCCAATGTTTTTGTCTTAAAGTTATTTTTATAGAAAAAAAGATTGAATTTTTCAAAGTTAAAAACATAGATATTTCTATTCATTCTTAATCACACAAGGATGCAGTTTTGAATCAAACATAAACACAAAAATCCATAAATGAAGGGTTATTTGAAATTACGGCTACACACTCTTTGAGATAATAATATAGCATAAAATCACAAAATTTTATAAGAATCTATTAATAACTTTTAACTAGATTTACACTAAAAATGATAGATGACCCTAACTATGTTTTGATAAATGGACATAATTTAGGTTAAAGCAATTGTTTCCCTGTTTTGGCCATTTTAATTTTTGGGTAATTTTTTTGCTATTGGAAAGGTCATTTTTAAGAAGGTCGACCTTTCGGGTCGTTTAGCGTAGTCTTCATGGAATATATTTTCAGACAAAAAATAACATATTGCGAATCGCAATTATTTAAACATTTATAGGGTTGAAAAAATTCTTGAGAAGAGTTAAATTAACATAAATATTAAATATTCAAATATTCAAGTTTAATTTCTTTATGTTCTTCCAAGAGAACTTTTCTGTAAAATCTATGTGAATAAATTTCAGAATTTAAATATTTTGTTCGCTAGGAAATTATGTTTTATTACTTCCATATTTTACTGTGGTCCATTCTTTGAAAACCCATATTCATAAGGAACTGAAATAATTAGGATAACTGTGTTGGATAACCATATAAAGTAGTAATCTCTGTATGCCTGCTGTTTGTATGTCCGATCAAAACTCATAAACCCCTGTACCGATTTGCCTCAAGTAATTGGTAGAACCACATAAATATTCTTAGTTTGGTTTGAAATTTCTAAGTTGAGTGGGATGTTTTTACAGCTACATTTTAGTTTCAAGCAGGGGGGATGATAGTTCTCTACCTGTGTGCTCAGTTAACTGTACTGCACACTTACAACTGTTTACTAATATTGATATACTATAGGTTAGACCAGAATTAACTTATAATAAACAAATATTCAGTATACGCTCTCGGTATAAATCATGGCCTGTACAATTAGTAAAGGATTAGCGTATACGTCATCACTCTATACACTATAACCTCGTTGGTTTCAAGGGACACCTGGGTCTTCATGCTATAAAATGAAAAATCAGATAAATATTTTTGTCATTTTGAGAATTCCATATTCATATATATATTTTTAAATGTTATATTACAATACAGTTTTTAAGGTAGTTAGATTAAACATGGATGAATAATTTAATTGTGTGTATTGTGTAGAGCAGTGAAAACAAACACCTTTATGATTGCTGGTTTTGACTTTTCTTTGAAACCAATAATTATGTAATTTTTTACTGGTATATCTTGTATTATATGTCCAGCGCGCATTTTTGCAGAGATTTTTGAGCTAGTCGCAAATACGCAATCCTCACCAAAAAAAATTAATTCAAAGAGAGAAACAAGCCGACAATCATTCAATATTGTTATCAACATTTATCCTATACTGGCATCCAGGGCTCATTGCATCGCTCTTTATTTTAGAAAATAATATTATTTGAATAATATTGTTTTATTGACATCTTCTTTATAAAAGAAATTAAAAGTCAAGGATTTTACGAAATTTTAATCGCAACCATGTTGGGTTTTGTATTTTCTTTATAAAAAAAAAAATAATTATGTAGGATTTGACAAATTTTTCTGTTTTGAATTAGCGGATATACAAAAAAAATAATCGAAATCTCTTGGAAACTATTTTTTCTCCAAATGTCTACCATCTTCCCACACACAAAAAAGGTATTGACTGGTCTATTCCTTTTATCGTTTATTGCAGACAAACAGATGAACTAAATATAACAATAAACAATAGCTGGTAAACCCATCTTTGCCTGAAGTAAAAGTTGATAAACTCAACTTCAAATTTTCTAACCAAACACATTTCCAGTTCCAATGAGTTTCCAATCAGAATTTAATACAATTTGGATAAGGTGTTCCTGAGTAATGATCGGACATACAAACAAACAAACAGAGATGACTTCTTTAAATTTATAGTCTAGCTCGGGAACACAGCTTTGCCTAGTACTTTCGCTATACAAATTATAAAAATTTAGAATTTTTAAACTGCAAGTTAAGAACATTCCCATAGTTCTACTGAGTTCCCTAATCAAAATTTGAGGCAAATTGGTCCAGGTGTTCATGAGTTATGATCGGACATTCACACAAACAAACAAAGAAATTGAAGTTTTGCCACAAACTCTAATTTTCTAATCCCTTTATCTCTACAACTTTATGGTGTATACTTCAAACTTAGATTATTTGATATATTAGATTTCATACATAGTTAGAAATATCTTTTGTCTGCGAAGTTGGCTAGCAAAAACTTAGAAATTAGATTAGAAAATCAGAGTTTGTGGCAAAGACTCAATTCTTTTAATTTTAGGTTCATTTGAACTGTACATCAGATAAATCCCATCCTGCAGCCAACCTCACTTGGAAGATTAACAACCAACCGGTAAATGATTTTTAAAAAATATTTTTATCTTTAAAGATATTTTAGCCTCCGTTATTCTGTTATTCATTTGTTTATATCAAGAATGCTTGACATGAAAATCTGGGTGTCTCCACACTAAAAAATCGGGGTCTCCAATGAAAATCTTGGGGTCTCAAATAAAATCTGGGGGTATCCAACGAAAATCATGGGCCTCCAATGAAAATCTGGGGGGGGTCTCCAATGAAAGGGGTTCTCCAATGAAAAAGGTCTTCAATGAAAGGGGGTCTCCGATGAAAGGGGGTCTCCAATAGTACTCAAATGATGATGATTTCTTCCCAGACTCATGTAAAAGTGCAACTTTACTTTGCAGAAGAATTTGCATTTTTTGTATTAGCAATATTTCTATATCAATGAATGAATTGTACCCGCTCCTCTTTGAGCGACAATGAGTAAGATATCTTTGTTTTTTATTTAACCGGAAAATTCCACATTCTGAAAATTTCTTTCTTTGATGCATAAAATTCCTAGTTCACATGTCACTTATATTGAGAACCCAAAATTGAAAATGATCGGTTTTCAGATATAGAAATAAACACAGATTTGTCAATTTTGCTTTGGTTAAAAGGAAACATTTTGTAGATTGGGCATTTTCCTCTTTAACTGGAGGGTCACTTGAAACCACACAGACAGTCCCTTTAAGAGCTTATAGAGTCAATATTAGGACAGTAAATGTAGAATTGACAGAAGCAGAGATATTGTTAAATACTTGCTCAATACTTCAATAATAGTTTGATAATAGTTCAGACTATAGTTCAAACTATTATATGCAGGTATAGTTTGATAGCAACTCAGTTGATTAGTTGAATGTATTTAGCTAATCAAATCTTGGTAAACTGTATTTTCTAAGTTGAACCATTTATACATAAAAATGCACTGTAAGGAAATCAAAGTTTACACGACAAATCAAAAATTATCCTTTTTAAAGGGACTGACAATTTTATTTTAAAAATTTTGAAAAATTTACTTGCGAATTTATGGTAAAAAAATGACAGAAGTTATCACTTAAAAAATTATCTTTCTCATATTCACTTAGATAAGCGTTTAAAGCATACAACACGCAAATCTGCCCCTTTAGTAAAAGTAAATTTAACCTGTATGAAGCATAAAGTCTGACCGCGTCAACCTTGTTGCACCGGCTAGTCCTGTCTATAGAGCTAGGTACAGTACAAACTGGGATCGGAAAGGTTGACCCGGCTCGGAAATTCAAATGTACTACGGCTGCCGTGACATATGTGCACTGACCAAGTAAGTTTTTAATGAGAAGATCTCTGAAAATTATGTCTGTACAGTCATTTTAAAGCTGAAAGACCTTTTGTTTATTTAATGTTATTGTTTAGGTAAATGGGCATTTATTACATCACTACCCAGTGATCAAACATGAGAGTGGGTTAGAAACATCCATTCTGGGATTAGAGTTTAAGGTATTCTTCAAACTTCACTTTAACAACAACAGCAACAACAACAACAACAACAACAACAACAACATCAACAACAACAACCCCCATTTATTCTAAATCCAACAGTAACAAAATAGTAGAAAAATATTTAGAGGATAAGTGGATTTTACAGATCCTATTTCTAATTGTTTACCCATTTTAATAATAGCTTCACCACCACTATACAGTATACACGTCTTATAATGTTAAGTTACAGACAAAATAATAGACAAACCACAAATAACATTCTATGTGTTTAGGTTTTTCAAGATCATCTTATTGGAGATAGTATGGAACTTGATCTAAAGTGCACAAGCTCCCTAACTTTTACAGCTAGCTCCCAAAATACAGAACTAAGGGTAAATATGGCCCCTACACAGTATGAAGCTTGATCTAAACTGTAATAGCTTCCCAAGCTCTACAGCTAGCTCCCAGAGGACAAAGCTAAGGGAAAATATACTCCCTACACAGTATGAAGCTTGATCTAACCTGTAATAGCTCTCCAAGCTCTATAGCTAGCTCTCTTAATAGTATGGACCTAGATCTATAAAACGCTTCTTTTTTAATTTAAAAATCCGTATATCTGCACTAGATCAAATAGTAAAAGTTTGAAATATCAAAAGGTTTTCACCATCAGATTAAAAAGATTTAAAGAGTTTGAGGCAAGTCCTCAGCTCCTTTATGATGATGAAATTTCAAAAACAATTTTTAGAAAGTTATCTTCTAGACCTTCAAAATAAAAACACCATTGTTGACCATGAACCATGTGCATGCACTTTATTAGTTAAATACATAATTGGCTAAAACTTCATCTTTGTCATCATTATTCATTAATTAAAGTGACCCAATGTCTCTCAATAGTCTTTGACCCAAATGACATTCATTCGTAAATTAGTTATTCAGTAACTTCAAAATGCAACAAACCCTATAGTCTAAACTATGTAAAAAATCTGTTCTACTTGTTTTGTACGACCATGACTGACCAAGGTCTAATCTAATTTCTAAGTTCAATATCATTTAATTGAATATGATTAAAATATAAAAATCTTTAGACTTTTGCTATATTTTTTAATACGGATGGTTTATAGCCCAAATTTCAATTCATTTTAATCATAATTCTATTTAGAGACAGCACCTTGAAACTGCTAGATTAGTGAGCAGTGCATTAAGAAATACAGGTAAAGTAAATTTAAATTATTAGAATATGATCTTTTGAAAATAACATGTTTTTATATAGAACCTAAAAATGAATCAAGGATTCAAGCAGTTTTTTAGATTTCATCATTTAACAAGAACAATTTTGTTGACAAATATTTTTTCTAAATTTACTCAGAAAGGAATTGAGTCTTTGTCACAAACTCTGATTTTCTAATCCCTTTATCTATGGAATCTAATGTCGTAGACCTCTGACATTTCAATCTTTGACTTCTGTTAGATCGAATAATATAAGTTGGAAATATCAAAGGTTTACGACAGTGGGTTCCAAAGATATAAAGATTAAAAAATCAGAGTTTGTGGCTAGGACTCAATTCCTTTGTTATCCTTAATGTTTTCTTAAATTGAAAATTAATCATTTTTAACCCTAAACCATTAGATTTTTTTCAACCTCCCCATCTACAACTTTTCGCTATAATAATAAGAAATTGTTTTATTTAGGGGTTTTTTTGCTTCTGCCCATCATTCTCTTCTTCTACTTTTAGATAACAAAATATGATATTTATCATTGATTATCAGTATAATGTAAACTTTTATAATAACAAAAATATTATCTCTAAGATGAAAAATATACAGACTGTTGCATAGTTTTCATATTTTATGCGAAAACATTAAAGTTTTTTTCCTAAGAATTTTTTTCAAAAATCTAAACAATTTGAGGTTTTTTGAAATGCTTGCTTTTTTTACAATATGAAAATTGTTGTTTTTAAAAAAAGAAGTTTGTCAAAGAACGAGTATTTAAATAAAAAGGACCGGTATTGTCATTTATTTAATTTTTATTTATTTTTTATTAGTTTTTTATCTATTTATTGTAAAGTGCAGGTACATTTAACTGATATTTTATCATCACTTTCCAGCTAAATATATTATCATTTTATAACAGTGCTTTTTTGGCAAACAAATCAATCATTCTCTTGATTTTTTTTATCAATCTTCCTAATCATTTGCATGCTTATAATTGTTTTCTAATCAAATATCTAAATATCATATCAATGTTTTTAAACCAAATTATAAATGTGAAATGTTAAAGATAGTTTTATCAAATAAACTGTTGTTTTTTACTTAAATTTAATTTTGAAATATCAAGCATGAATATTCAAATGTTTGTTTTCTTGTTAAAATGTTAGGATTTGAACTATTACTTTTTAACCGAAAAAATTTATAATTTATTTTTACATTTAAAGGGACCCTTCCCTAAACTTGTCAGTCAAGGTTAAAGGGACTGTCGGTGTACGTGTCCCTTCATTTAGAAAAAAGAGGGGAATGTCCCATTCACAACCTTACTCTTTAAATCTTTGTTTTGTGTCTTAATGAAAAAAACTAAATCTCAAGTTACAGAGGGTCAACCCAGAACGAAATATATTTTTAAAAAAATGTGGAACTAAAATCTACTTTATTTGAATCATCATCAACATTAAACTTAAAATCTCTCTCTGATAATTAAATTGTAAATTATTGTCATTTTTCTATCAGTTTTTTAATTCTGAGAATATCCTAAAGCATAATTGCGCAATCCAATTTTATAATAATTGAAAATAATTGAAACTTAAATTGAAACTTAATAAAGGAAACCTTTTCAAAAATTCTAATACTATTAAATATTGAAATAACTTTGTAATTATTTTTTTTATATTTAAAATTTTATTATTCTTTAATTGTTAATCATTTTTTTATACTGGATTGCAATTAATGATGATGCGTCAATTATACAAAGAAATAAAAATTCTTTAGCATTGATAAATTCTGTAATTTCTAATCTAATCTAACTCTAAATATGATATGAGTAAAAATATGTTTTGCATTGAAAGTACTATAGAATTAATTGTTAACACTGTATAGTCTGGGAAACAACATTGCAGTTAAGATACAGTCTGAGGAACAACATTGCAGTTAAGATACAGTCTGGGAAACAACATTGCAGTTAAGATACAGTCTGGGAAACAACATTAGAGTTAAGATACAGTCTGGGAAATAACATTGGAGTTAAGATACAGTCTGGAAAACTACATTGGAGTTAAGATACAGTCTGGGATACAACATTGGAGTTAAGATACTGTCTGGGAAACAACATTGCAGTTAATATACAGTCTGGGAAACAACATTGCAGTTAAGATACTGTCTGGGAAACAACATTGGAGTTAAGATACAGTCTGGGAAACAACATTGCAGTTAAGATACAGTCTGGGAAACAACATTGGAGTTAAGATACAGTCTGGGAAACAACATTGCAGTTAAGATACAATCTGGGAAACAACATCGCAGTTAAGATACAATCTGAGAAACAAGTTTTTTGCCGTTTCCATTACAGAAAACTATGGAAAAAAACATGAAGAAAATATGATTGCCGTATTTTTATCATAATTATTGTTAATTATTGTTATATTGATATAAAAACTCACCCCTACCCTACTTAAAGGTGCCAAATTTGTAATAAAAATATGTAAAAGCTAAAGCATATGTAAAAATATTTTAAATGTTTATAAACCCTCTCCTCTCCCTTTCTTCCTTTCTTCTTGTCACTTTCCAATATTTGAAAACTGTAACCAAAAGGAAAAATAAATTTTTTATTCAAAACAAAATTTTTTTAAATTTTTTTTTTTTTAAAGAGTAAATATGGATTTGATAATCAGCAAGAAGGTGGATAAACTAGATATGGTTGGTTGAACTAAATATGGTTGGTTAAACTAGATATTGTTGGTTAAACTAGATATGGTTGGCTGAACTAGATATGGTTGGTTGAACTAGATATGGTTGGTTAAAATAGATATGGTTGGTTGAACCAGATATGGTTGGTTAAACTAGATCTGGTTGGTTAAACTAGATATGGTTGGCTGAACTAGATATGGTTGGTTAAACTAGATATGGTTGGTTGAACTAGATATGGTTGGTTAAACTAGATATGGTTGGTTAAACTAGATATGGTTGGTTAAAATGGATATAGTTGGTTAAACTAGATATGGTTGGTTGAACTAGATATGGTTGATTAAACTAGATATGGTTGGTTGAACTAGATATGGTTGGTTAAACTAGATATGATTGGTTGAACTAGATATGGTTGGTTGAACTAGATATGGTTGGTTAAACTAGATATGGTTGGTTAAACTAGATATGGTTGGTTGAACTTGATATGGTTAGCTGAACTAGATATGGTTGGTTGAACTAGATATAGTTGATTGAACTAGTGGTTGGTTGAACTAGATATGGTTGGTTGAACTAGATATGGTTGGTTGAACTAGATATGGTTGGTTGAACTAGATATGGTTGGCTGAACTAGATATGGTTGGTTTAACTAAATATGGTTGGTTGAACTAGTGGTTGGTTGAACTAGATATGGTTGGTTGAACTAGATATGGTTGGTTGAACTGGATATGGTTGGCTGAACTAGATATGGTTGGTTGAACTAGATATGGTTGGTTAAACTAGATATGGTTGGTTGAACTAGATATGGTTGGTTGAAGTAGTGGTTAGTTGAACTAGATATGATTGTTTAAACTATATATGGTTGGTTGAACTAGATATGGTTGGCTGAACTAGATATTGTTGGTTGAACTAGATTTAATTGGTTGAACTAACGTGGTTGGTTGAAATAGATATGGTTGGTTGAGCTAGATATGGTTGGCTGAACTAGATATGGTTGGTTAAACTAGATATGGTTGGTTGAACTAGATATGGTTGGTTGAACTAGATATGGTTGGCTGAAAAGGATATGGTTGGTTAAACTATATATGGTTGGTTAAACTAGATATGGTTGGTTAAACTAGATATGGTTGGTTGAACTAGATATGGTTGGCTGAACTAGATATGGTTGGTTGAACTAGATTTGGTTGGTTGAACTAGTGGTTGGTTGAACTAGATATGGTTGGTTGAACTAGATATGGTTGGTTGAACTAGTGGTTGGTTGAACTAGATATGGTTGGTTGAACTAGATATGGTTGGCTGAACTAGATATGGTTGGTTAAACTAGATATGGTTGGTTGAACTAGATATGGTTGATTAAACTAGATATGGTTGGTTAAACTAGATATGGTTGGTTAAAATGGATATAATTGGTTGAACTAGTGGTTGGTTGAACTAGATATGGTTGGCTGAACTAGATATGGTTGGCTGAACTAGATATGGTTGGTTAAACTAGATATGGTTGGTTAAACTAGACATGGTTGGTTAAACTAGATATGGTTGGTTAAACTAGATATGGTTGGTTAAACTAGATATGGTTGGTTGAACTAGATATAGATGGTTGAACTAGATATGGTTGGTAGAACTAGTTATGGTTGGTTCAACTACTTTGCTAGTTGCTTAGTTCAGGGGCCTTAAACCTAATTATAAGTGACCTTTGATGTAATGGTTGATTTACAACGATACCCTTAAAAGCTTTGTCATGATAAAGTATGAATGAGAAATTCATGTTTTTGATTTTTAATAACTGTTTATTTACATTTGCAGTGTCTCTGCAAAAGTGACTTGGGCATTTCTTGCTTAAAATAAGGAATGGAGAAATTAACACATTTCGAGTCAGAAAAACGAGGGTATATTTACCATTTTTTAGCAGATATCGAATTCAAGGGTACCGATGTAAATAAGGCTTTGCCATCGTTGCATAAAGGGTCACTTGAAATGACGCTAACAGTCCCTTGAAATCCAGCCTCTGTAGACTGAATTGTTTTATTTTATTCTTGTCTGGTGTTATGGTCTGGTTTAGTTTAGTCAAAAATGGTGTGGCCGAAAAAAACTGGTCTGGTATCTTCTTGTCTTTTCTTCAGTCTGGACTGTACTAGCTGGATCTGTTCTGGTATGGTCTAATCTGGTATGATCTAGTCTAATATGATCTATTATGATCTATATAGCCTGGTCTAGTCTGGTATAATCTAGTCTAATATGATCTATATAGCCTCTTCTAATCTGGTATGATCTAGTCTAGTAGGGTCTATTATGATCTATAAAGCCTGGAATAGTCTGGTAGGATCTAGTTTAATATGGTCTATTATGATCTATATAGCCTAGTCTAGTCTGGTATGATCTAGTCTAATATGGTCTATTATGAACTATATAGCCTGGTCTAGTCTGATATGATCTAGTCTAATATGGTCTATTATGAACTATATAGCCGGGTCTAGTCTAATGAGATCCAGTCTAATACGGTCTATTATGAACTGTATAGCTTGGTCTAGCCTGGTATGATCTGGTTTAATTTATGGTCAATTATTATCTATATAGCCCGGTCTAGTCCGGTATGATCTAGTCTAATATTGTCTATTATGAACTATACAGCCTGGTCTAGTCTGGTATAATCTAGTCTAATATGGTCTATTATGAACTATATAGCCTGGTCTATTCTGGTATGATCTGGTCTAATCTGGTAAGATCTGGTTTACATCAAATATTCAATATTAAAAGTAAACAATATAAGTGCTCTAAGTAAACAATGAATTTACAGGGATTTTCAATATACAGTGCGGTTCATGCACTTAACATCACATTTTAAATATTTTTGAATATTCACGTTAAGCTAAAGTAAATTGCTCTTAGATTGAAATCTTATTTTTTTCAAGCAAAACTTCTCTTTTTG